TCTTCTGGGTGGCAGTGATGGCATGGATTGTGGTCATGAGTCCCTCCACAATGCCAAGGTTGTCATGGATGACCTTAGCCAAGGGGGCTAAGCAGTTGGTGGTACAGGAGGCATTGCTGACAATGCTGAGGCTGTTTTCGTACTTCTCGTGGTTCACACCCATCACAAACATGGGAACATCAGCAGAAGGGGCAGAGATAATGACCCTTTTGGCACCCCCCTGTAGGTGAGCCCCAGCCTTCTCCATGGTGGTGAAGATGCCAGTGGACTCCACAACATACTCAGCACCTGCCTCACCCCATTTGATTTTGGTGTGATCTCGCTCCTGGAAGATGGTTATGGGATTTCCATTGATGACAAGCTTCACGTTCTCAGCCTTGACTGTGCCATGGAATTTGCCATGGGTGGAATCATCCTGGAACATGTAGACCATGTAGTTGAGGTCAATGAAGGGGTCATTGATGGCGACAATATCCACTTTGGCAGAGTTAAAAGCAGCCCTGCAGACCAGGCGCCCAATCCGACCAAAGCCGTTTATTCAGAACTTCGGTTTCACCATGGTGCCTCGGGGATGCGGCTGGCGCTGTACTAGAAGAAGCGGCTGTCTGATGAACGGGAAGACCAGAGAGCCACAGAAGCAGAATTATACGGTAGTTAGCCATATGTCATACCTCTTTGTTTTAATATTTTCCCCACCTAGTATTTCTTAAAGGTCAGTCTAGGGTGGTGTCCGTGGCTCAAAGGAGTAGGGTGCCGGCCCCATATGCTGGAGGTGGCAGGTTCAAACCCAGCCCTGGCCAAAAATAAACAAACAAACAAAAAACCAAAAGTCAGTCCAGGGATAGTTGGTATTTCCCAGTTTCTCAGGTGAGTATTCAAGCTAGAAGTTGGTGAGTATTTCCCCATCTATCTTGGGAGTGAACCAGACTTACTCCATTTTGTTGAGGGCTTGAGCCCAGAAATTTGCCAGGAGTTAACTGGTATTTTTCTACTTTAGCCTAGGCCTAACAGCACAAGTCCCCACCTCCAACAAACTGTATTCAAACCATAGCACTTAGCATAACCTTGAGTAGGGTGGATGACTGGCTTTGGTTCTTAGTTCTCTCTTCCTCCTTCCTCTGGAAAGGTGAAGGGCTGCAGTGTGGGCAGATGGTCAGACTTAACTTTGATGGGCATACCTAAAAAGGTTGTGAAAGTTTCTGTAGACAGGCACATCTCAGTGTGACATATACAGGTTTTGATGTGTGCTAGTGTTTTTAAAATTGGGAGTAGCAACCCACTCATATGTCATGAAAGGGTTTTAGTGGTATTAAGCAAGATATTAAAAAGCAAAATAAGATAGAGAGGCACCTGTGGCTCATTGAGTAGGGCGGCGGCCCCATATACCAAGGGTGGCGGGTTCAAACCCAGCCCCAGCCAAACTGCAACAAAAAATAGCCGGGCATTGTGGCGGGCGCCTGTAGTCCCAGCTACTTGGGAGGCTGAGGCAGAAGAATTGCCTAAGCCCAGGAGTTGGAGGTTGCTGGAGCGACTCTGCTGCACTCTACCGAGGGCGAAAAAGTGAGACTCTGTCGCTACAAAAAAAAAAAGAAAAAGTAAAATAAGATAAAAAGAATAAAAATATCAGGGTGCATTGTGCATAGTAGAGGTAAGTACTGTTTTCATTTATAGATACACCTATATGTCCTTGGTCGTCATTCATTAATGAAAATAAACTTGAAAAACACCAGTGTAGAGAGGAAGGGCTGAGACTGTAACCTCTGCAGTTTTAAGGTTCAGTGGGAAGAGTCTCAGCTCCATTAAATACCAGCTGCATGACTATAGGTGAGCTTCATAACTTCTTTAAGCCTCAGATTCCTCATCTATAAAGTGAGGATAAAGATGGATCTTGCCTCATGAAGTTATGTTTGTTGAGAGGATTAAAGCCTTGACTACAATGCTTGACACACAACGTGTCCTGTACATGGCAACTATTATGATTATTTATGAAAACTGGTTACTCATCTGTTGGGGGTTTATGTGGCATGAGAATTGTGATTAAATGAGTCATATGGGCATATTTTCAGCATGGAAAAAGGATGTGGTCCTTAAATCTCAATATTCACTACTGGTCTTCTGTCTGAAAGAACATCTGATACATTATTTCAAAGAAAATATTTGAAAACCCAAGACTCCCTCAATAAGCACATAATTCTTAGGATCTTCAGAATAGCATAAATTGTAATTTCCTCTCTAGTCCCCTTTTGGAAAGGTATAATAGGATTGGGAGCAGTGGATGCAGCAGTGAAATAGGGTTGTGCCCTCCCTATAGCCTCTTGGGATGGGAAGGGCAGAACTGCACTCCTCTTGTTCTCTGTGGGATCTCTCCATTTGTCGAAGACAGGCTTCTGCCTCCAGAAATTAATTTCTTTCCTTCAGGCTGTGCTTCTGATAAAGTCATCCACATTATGCTGTTCTGGTGGATTAACATGATTAATAGTGATTTGTTTAGGGGGTGGCCTTTTGATTATCACGGTTGTATTTATTCTTTTAAGCAGTTTTATTAGGGCATAATTTAGTTACCATAAGTTCACCCATTTTAAGTGTAAAATGCAGTGATTCCTAGTGAATTTACAGGGTTGAGCAAATATCACCACAAGCAAGTTTCAGAACATTTCCTTCCCACCAAAAGAAAGATCCCTCATGACTACTTGCAATCCTTTTCCTGCCCTCCAGCCTTAGGAAACCACTCATCTACTATCTTTGCAGATTTGACTTTTTTAGACATTTAATCAAAATGGAATCATACAACGTGTGGTCTTTCGGGTCCAGCTTTTTTAACGTAGCATGTTTTTGAGGTCCAGGCACTTTATAGCATGTCTTGGTACTTCATTTCTTTTTATTGCCCCATAGTATTCTATTGTATGGTATACATCTGTTTCTCCATTTCCAGTTGATGAATATTTGACTGTTTCCACCTTTTGGCAATTATGAATAATGGTGCTGTAACAATTCACATACAAGTCCTTTTTTTGGACATATATTTTTATTTCTCTTCATATCTAGCAGTGGGATCAATGGGTCATATGCAAAAATTATGCTCAAAATTTTAAAGAAATTGACAAACTGTCTCTCAAAGTTGGTGCACCAATTTACATTCCCACCATCAAAACATGAGAGTTTTAGTTCCTGCATATCCTTGCCCATGCTTTTGATGATAGCCCATTTTAGAGGAAGTTAAGTGGTAGCTCATTTAATTGAACCAGTGAATTAATGATGTTGAGCATCTTTTCATGTATTTATTAGCCATTTATATACTTTCCTTTGTGAAATGTCTATCTAAATCTTCTGCCAAAATTTTAACCAAGTTGTTTGTTTTCTTATTGTTGACTTCTAAGAGTTCTTTGTATATTCTGGATACAAATTTTTTATTAGATCTATGATTTGCAAATATTTGATTTCAGTCTTTGGTTTGTCTTTAAATTTTCTTAAAGATACCTCTTAAAGAGGAAAAATTTTAATTTTGATAAAGTTCAATTTATCAAGTTTTTATTTTATAGATTGTACTTTTGATGTGATATCTAAGAACTCTTCATTTAAATCAAGGTCTTACCAGTTTCTTCTATGTTTTATTCTGAAAGTTTATACTTTCAGCTTTTAAATTTAGGTCTATAAATGCATTTTGAGTTGTTTTTATGGGTGGTGTGAGGAAAGTATCTAAATTTATCTTTTGGCATGTGACATTTGTTGAAAATAGTTTCTTTCTTAATTTTTTTTTTTTTTTTATTGAGACAGAGTCTCACTTTGTCACCCTTGGTAGAGTACCATGGCATCACAGCTCACAGCAACCTCAAACTCCTGGGCTCAAGTGAACCACTTGCCTGAGCCTCCCGAGTAGCTGGGATTACAGGACACCCCCCTCCCCCCGTGTCTCTATTTTTAGAGATGAGGTCTTGCTCCTATTCAGGCTGATCTCAAACTCCTAAGCTCATGCAATCCACCCACCTTGGCCTCCCAGAGTGCTATGTTTATTGGCGTATGCCATTGTGCCTGGCTCTGAAAATTGTTTCTTGTATATCAAAATGCATTGACACTTTTGCATAACAACCAATTGACCATAAGTGGAAGGGTTTATTTCTAGACTCTCAATTCCGTTCTGTTGATCAATATGTTTATCCTTATGCCTGTACCACACTGTCTTCATTGCTGTTGCTTTGTGGTAAGTTTTGAAATCAAGACATATATGTCCTCTGGTTCTGATGTTCTTTTTCAAGATTTTTTTAACTATTTTGGATTCTTTGCCTTTCCATATAAATTTGGGGATCAACCTCTCAATTTCTGCAAACATAGCATCTGGGATTTTGATAGAAATTGCATCGACTTCATAGACATATTTGGGGGAGAATTGCCATTTTAGTGATATTGGAAATGTCTTTCTACTTATTCCTATTTTCTTTAATTTCGTGGCACATGTTTATAGTTTCTGATGTATAAATCATAGACTTCTTTTGTTATATTTATTTCTAACTATTTTATTCTTTTTCATGCTATTATTAATGAGATGGTTTCTTAATTTCATTTTCAAATACTTCATTATTAGTACCTAGAAATACAATTTATTTTTGTAAATTGATCTTATATCATGCAATCTTTTTGACTTTGTTTATTACTGCTAATAATTTTTTAGTGGATCTCTTGGGACTTTCTATATATAAGGTCATGTAATTTGTGAATAGAGAGTGACATCAGTGAAAATGGTGGAGTAAGGAAATCCAGAAGGCTTGCCCCTCCCTAAAAGCAAAGAAAAAAGTGGCAAAAACTTTCAGAATCAACTTTCTTCTTAAAACTCTGAAAACTAACCAAAAGCTTGCAGCATCTCAGAGTCCTTGTTCAAGAAAAATGGCTAATATTTTTAGGAACAGAGCTTTGTGGCATTTTAACTTACCCTGATTTTATCCACCACTCCCTGTTTCAGTTTTTACCTTGAAAATAATATCCTGAATTCTAATAACAGTACTGGAGAGAACAGAAGAACCTCATTTGCAAAGAATTGCCTTCAGTTGATCTGTCTGGTAGTTGTCTGGGATATCTGCACAAAAGGCACTTCTTTTAACTGTATTCTTTTTTAAATTTCAGGTTAATTTGAGGATACAAAGAAATAGGTTACAATGTTTGAATTTGTTAGGTAGAGTCCCTTTTGTAGTTGTGTCCTACACCTATCTCACCTAACTTCAAACTCACCCAGTCCTAAAGTCACTACCTGTAGGGAAGACACTTTTGAAAAATGTATAGACAAATATTTAACTTCTTGTTGCCTGAGGAAATAGATAACAGTTGACACAAAACTTAGATTGACCAAAAATTGTGGGAGGAAAAGTTGAGACTCACAGGGGAATAGAGCTCTGAAAGGTTCCAATATATCCCTGGGAATCTAGAAGGTCACATGCAAGTCCACAGCCATCTGTGTGCTCAGGAAAGACTTGAGAAGACCCTAAGCTCTCATCTCTGGCTGACTTTGAGCACTTCTGGCACAAGCCAGAAATAAACGCTAAGGTAGGGTTGTAAACTGCATGCCTGAGTGTTGAAAGCATGCCCCAACATGCATACAGGCACAGAACCCCTCTGCAAAGACTGTGAATTTCTTTG